TGTGTGCCTTGGCAGTCACATGTTGATGTATAAAAGACATGAACAAGTGGATTTTGCATAATAGGTGACTTTCAACTAAAAGAAACAGATGGAACAGAGTTTGTGAAAACACAAAACATCTTGCTGTAAAACCATAGAGTATATCGTAGAAGGGACGCTACACAAATCAAGTGAAACCAAAAGACACAACTTAGTACAAAAACAATATTATGAACTATCTTAAAGTATATATTTTAGTGTTAGTAAGTGTGTGATTTGGATTTAGTTGTATTTTTAGAGCTCAGTAGCGATTACTGCTCAGAGGTTCAGTCTGGCTCAGTCATGCGGCTCATTGCACATTCTGTGTGGTTTTAAAGCCTGAGTTTGACTCTGATTACCCTGACATTTCTTTCCTAATAAAATTCCTCCAATAATGAGCTCCGTGGCCTCAATGATATCCCTCACACCCTTAACGACACAACTCACCTTAATGAGAGAGACAAGGTGGCCATGTATAGTTCGGAACAATTCTCACAAACAGGCCGCACATACTTAGCTCAGAGAAATTAGGCAAATAGAAACTTGAAAGGATTCACATCACCTGATAAACAAAGGGATAAGGGGTAACAGAATATCAATGTTACAAGATGGGCAAAGGCATCGGTTGTGGGGGGTCTTCTGTTTCCAACTAGCTGTTGGCCATGCAATTAAAGATATGTCTTTCACTGTAGTAGATTATTTCTTTGTAGCCTATATGACTTAAATCCAAGATACAAAGATCATTAGTACATGTATAGGGACTGGCTGGGAGGAACATGGAGGGGAGCACAAAACCAATTAGGCCAATAGAAACACAAATAGCAAAGTTTCTAAACTTAGGAAACAAATTAATCAAAGTGCCAAATGCCCCTGTTGAAAGAAAGAGAGAAAAGGAACTTCTTAAGCACATGTTTCATCTGCCTGCTGTGCGTCATGTCTAGCCAGCTCTGCGACCTAAAGCTAACCATTAGATAGTATCTTCATTTCCAAGATAAAAAGGGGATCAGAAAGAAAAGTGGAGGATGAATCCCATTTCCCCAGCGTTTTGTTTTGAGGAGGAAGTTCAATTACTGGATTGTAGATAAATTAGGAAGACAAAGTAGGGGGAGGAGGGTTTTAGAAACAGAAGACAAGCATGATATAAATGGTTTTGGTGGCGGAATATCTGGTTACAATTGACCCCTCTGTCTTATCCTCACTTCACCCTCAGCCCAGTTCATTTCTCATTCTTTCCTCCCTCCTTTCTCCCTGCCATCCTTTAGTTGTCCTGTCTTACTTTGTCTTCCCTACCATCATTCTCAATGGAAAGCCACTTCTCTTTTTCCTCAGTATCCTCTTTCTTGTATCTCCTCTCTTTTCTATCCCCTCTTCCTTCTGTTTTTTCCGTCATTTTTCATTGTTTCACTTTCATTTATTATATTTCTCTATCTTTGTTTTCATCCTCTTTAAGTCCTTCCCCTACTTATTCTCCTTTGCTCTCGGGCCTCAGACCACTATCAGGGTGTTTCTACATCCACCCTCTCTTTTTCTCTTTCTTTTCTCCCTCTTTCTCCCTCTATCTCTCTCTCTCAACTGTCCTCTTATTTTCATGCGGCTTGCTGGGCAGCCATACTCCGCATCTTTATCTCTGTCTGAGGTGGAGGAGGCAGCCTCGTGCCAGCAACTAATGGACTTTTGGAAAACACAGACAGCAATGCATCACAGTCCGGAGAACTAGTGAGAGAGGGAGGGAGGATTTGGAGTGAAGCCGAAGGGAGAGTGGTTTCTGAGAGTTACTCGGGATGCTGTATGTCTTCCTTCTGTGTTAGTGAAGAAAAATTGAAACTCAGCTGTTCCTTTTAACGTAACACAAGAATAAGAAAGAGTGGGAGAGAATAAGTCTCAATGCCTGTGGGAGTTACTATCAATAATGAGACATCCTTCTAAGATGTAATACTGCACAACACTTCCCAAAATGTACTGACATTGAGACATCCTGTGTTGGCCGAGGCGGCAGTTATTCTATATGGCTACTGCATATATTTAATAGGAAGGAGTGGCAATAACTGTGTTGTTGTGTAGAAAGAGTTTCTGTCTCACAAATTAGTCATTCAAAAGCAAAGATTCAGGTCTTTTTTATCCATTACACCTCCCGGGCTCCATTCATTATTTTCTTGTTTTCTGGCACTCTTTCATGCTTACCAGAACAGTTATTGACAAAGGTTTGTAATGTTTGTCGTTTTGTATGTGATATGTAATGTTTATCATTTCAGTCTCTGGTTCTTTTTTGTTTACGTCCACTCTATTAGACTCAAACACTAGTGTGTGACAGGTTGCCATCATAGACTGTATGCCATTCATTGTAAATTCAACCCCCCAAAAACATCTGGCACCACAGATTCAGGGCTCAAAGGTCGCCCGATGGCACCAGACGCAGAAGTTTTTAAATATCCACTTTCCTCTGCCATGCAAGATGACCTGCACACTTTGATGATTCCCCTGGGAAGCAGAAACGCAGAGGTGTTCTACTCAAACAGGTTCAGGAGCAGTTAGAAATTATTAACATATGAGGAAATGTGCCTTCCTTTTTTAGTGACTAACTAAAAGCAAAGACTGTGCACACTTTTAACCTCTTCAGCACCATTACCGACCTCCAAAAAACATTATTAGCTTATGAAAAGTTGTGAGAGATCCATTGGGATATAACCTGATTGGTGAATATTAACAGAAACTCACTAAGAAATGATTGATTTGCACAAAATGTGTCCAGAGAAAAAGTATCTATCCCAAGAGCCTAAGTAGAACTGCTTTTTTAGCTGATGCCCTGCTGACAAGGTTGCACGCATTCCCCATAAGCCCAGTTATACAAACTCTAGCCATCTTAAAATGATTGTGTATCTTTTTTACCGTAGAGCTATATTACAGTTAATGTGTCTGCAAATAGAGTCGCTTTATCAAACTAATCCAACACAATGATGGCGTCCTTGGTTTTCAGGAATTATCTCTCTCTAACACCATATGGAATGTTCCATGAGGACACAAG